ACATTTAACTCCTGAGTTTAGTGTCACTTTAAGTCATTGAATAGAATCCTTGCAAAAGGCAAAGTTCATGTCAGCATGCATTACCACATTTGCTAAAGTGATTTTAAAGTCCGAAGGTTTAGGTGGGCGGCCTTCTGTACAATATCCTATGATCTGAAACGGAACATTTTTGGCTGACCAGTGACGGCAGCCAATCCGTTGCAATCACTTGTATTCTGACAAGGGGGCATGGGTTGGGAAGTCTGCTAATCCGCTAATCATGCTGTTCAACGTGGATGAAGGAATCTGTTACATTCTTTCTGTAGGCTGAACAAAAAGGAAAGCTATTGGTGTATGGCCAGAGTATTTCCAAGAGAGTTTTCATCTCATTTCCTGTTGTGACTTCACTACAGGAAGTGATGGGAAATCTCCCCCGTGAAATACAGGCAGCAAAAAATAACCTTATTTTGGCTTAACAAATTTTTGTTAAAGATTTTCAAACCGTATAAATCAGGAACACAATCACAGGTCTATCACGTTGCCATAGGTCAGGTGGAGAAAGAAGTCGGAACTATGCAGGTAGGTTAACAATCGGTAGCACCATCAATCGTAAAGCACTTAGATTGCATACATGTAGAAAGTGAATTTGACAAGCTGAGTATACAATTATTAAGGCGAGATAAAAATAAAAGTGGGATTGTCGCAGAGATCACTTGCCATACGTCACAAGGAGGATATGAAAGTGTCACTTTTAGGATTGAGTATATCTTCTGGTTTGTTTCACTTCTGAAGTGACAGAACGGCAAGGAATTGTCATGAACAAGCCACATTAAAGCCGCATTTCTGAGAAAAGCTGATCTGTGACATAGTGTGATTCTCAACCTGTGAAAGAGGAAGGTCAGAGGTGTTAAGTGCGGGGTTTACCTTCCACCGTCTTATCAGAAGGTGCGACATGCCGGGTAATACTGAAATTTCTTATAAACTGTCATTTTGAACCAAATCTCTCTTGGAATCAATCTCGGAATACATGAGCAGTGCAACCGATTCAATGCAGTCACTTTTCGGGGCCATAAATGTTCATCCGGCTCCTTCAACAAAAGTTGATCGAGCTGACGGGGCCACCCATTGAAATATTTTGGCCGATTCCTGTGCATCAGCTAAAATTCTAAGTGCATGGCCAGCCTTAAAGTGACATTAAACCCTCAGATTTTTTTACATAAACCAATACTGTAATGTGCGCCTTACTGTAATCCATGGTAGTTTCCCTTCTCTTTGCTGCTCTTCCTTTTAAATCCTTATCTCTTCTCATGCTGGGGGAGAACTTCCCTTTGCAGCTGAGTGCCTCTTCCTGTAGTGCTGGCTCAGGTTGTGAACCTGCACACAGACACCATGTATCCATTCCAGAGAAGAGGCAGTCTGCTGCAAAACAGAAGTTCTGCAGAGCATGAGAAGAGATACGGATTTAAAAGGAAGAGCAGCAAAGAGAAGGGAAACTACCATGGATTACAGTAAGGCACACATTACAGTATTGGTTTATGTTAAAAAAATCTGAGGGTTTAATGTCACATTAAGCACCGGCATCAACATTTGCACCGTGTATGTATGGAAGATGCTGTAAAGCTAATGGTTTTGCTATCAGTCATTCTTTGTTCTTGCCGCTTTTTAAACATCTGTAAAGAATTGATTTCAGAAACAAAACAAGAGGCTATTAACCCGTTATACCTGATTGGTCATGCCGATTTGCCTGCGTCGTGCAGGCGCTCATTAATCCTTGGCTAATGATGTTGCTGACACTGTACCTGACAAAGAGGCCAGTGAAAGCATTTCTACCCCCGAGGCTGAGTAATAGTGAACACCCAGCGTACGCGTATTCTCCTCCACGTTGAGTGATGTCCTTATATCGTTCCTGCTGAGTATTCAGCACACTGAGCTCCAGTGTCCCACCTTTCTTGCCCCCCTCTTCATTCACCTCTTTCTATAGAATGGCTCTTTTATAGGAAGGACAGGACAGCAAATTGCTCGGGCTCTTTGATCAATTGTTGAGTGTTGGATCTCCTCTCTTACTAATTAGCTTCACAAGGCATTTGTAGTTCATTTCCTGCAATCAAAAGCTTATGATCTGCTTAATGCAGTGTTCCCCAGGAGGCCAGTGCTGTGATGGAGGGCCGTATGAAAATTAAGTCACCTACAGTAGGATTTTGATTGTAATTGGGGTGGCGGTGGGGGCTTTCCATTATCTTTGTCCATGGACATCAGGGAACAGCCAGGCATTCAATAAAAAATCAGTCCTTTTTATTGTCTTATTGGTCGCACAAGCTTTCCTGTTTAACAGAAGAATGCCCTATACGGGTAAACTCGAGAACTGATAGTCATCAGACACGGTTTGTTAACCAGTCTGATTGCTTTGTCCACAAGCATGGGCACTTCTTCCTTTGTTAACCAGTCTGATTGCTTTGTCCACAAGCATGGTCACTTCTTCATTTGTTAACCAGTCTGATTGCTTTGTCCACAAGCATGGGCACTTCTTTCTAATGCCCCTTTCACATAGGCGCCATCCGTTTCTGTCAGCAGGGGATCCATGCACAGAGCCCCTGCTGATTGGAGCGGGAACAGATTATGACTTCCATGTTCATCCATTTTTTTTTTGGAGGTGTATGGACCCATGTTTGTACTATGGGGACGTCGAATGTAAGCGGACATGTGTCCATTTACATCACCTCTGATGTGTCACGATCAGGCCTACCAAAGCTGAACTTTTTTGTTTTTTGGACCTAGATGGAGTCAGGGATCACTAGATGTATGCAGATGTACAGCCGTTTAGATCTTGCTGCCCATAAAGTAACACTGGGATTCCAATCAGATCTACCTGAAAGACTGAAGACCTGATCGGACTGCCCATGTGACCACCTTACTCGGCCAACATTTGATTGTGGCACACATGTAATGGCAGTCTGGTTCCCATTGAGGTTAGTGACCCCCTGTTTGCAATAGGAACAAAGGTTTTTTTAAAGCTCAGTAGCACTCCTTAACTTTCCCAGATGAGGGTGTAGTAGACTTGAATAGCAGGGAGATCAGATTACACTCCTTGGAAAGACCTAGATGGCTTGATCGGGAACATAATTTGCAAGGCTTACCGACCATTGGTATATATTCCATACAGAGTGGCACAGGCAGATGTCACTCGCATCGACGTGTTGAAAACTATTCTGTCCAATTAACTGCACTCCCTGAGTTTGGGCGGCTTATGGGCATTTGCCCCGTATGGCTTTTTGCCCTGAACACACGGGTGCATTAATTTGTGTCTTGCATATCTGATTAGAGTTTAGCTTGGAGATGTAAACACAGCTTGTAATTTATCTTTCTCAATCTTCAAAGCTGCTTGACAAGGATACAGCGAATGTTATGAAAGAGTATAAAGCAATTCTGTGGTTAGATAATGATGCTTATGCCACGCAAACAAAAGAAAGTAACAATAGCAGACCTGTATCATAGTTGTATCAGTAGTATTCTGAAGGCTGTACACAAAAATATCTTGTGTACTTATTAATAGTATAGGATGCAGGCCTATGATTTAGGTCAGAAATTCTACATTCTCATCAGATCGTCTCCCTAAAGCATCAAAGGCAGACTAAACATATCCAGGAAAGATGGCCCCAAAATAGGCTCATTAGCCAAGGCAAACAAAACGAGGGGAAAAAACAGCAGAGATAACGATCTGCCAGGAGACAAGAGGTCACATCCTGGTTCAGACTAGTTAACTGCTTGTCTCTGATAATTGCGCACAATTGGAATATGGTCAACAAGCAGAAAGTAAAAGTTTCACTAATTAATAGAATGATTACTGCATGAAAGACGTTTCATGAAAGCTTTAATCTATCGTTGCACTGGAGGTTTGCAGTTCCAGGGTTTAGAATATATCAGGCATTGCATGATAGGTTCTATTTTCTATCTTTAACCCATTGATAGGTAAAAGACAAGGGTACCCATTGACTCTGCTTTGTTATGCTGCTGCTCACCTTTAACGTGCCCATACATGGTACGAGAATTGCGCGAAATCCAGCAATTGTACGATAATCGTGCAGTGTATGGAAGGCGTGCAACCATTTCTACTGTACGGTGGCACGTCTTCCGTCGAACAAGCAGGCTGGAAAACCCGCCGGGAATCGTACGATTCTCTGCAAATTAGTGGCCTGCTTGTTCGATAACTGCCAAACGGGCTGGTGTGCGCACGCGCATACTGCCCGTTTGCAGTCATCGGAAGCCCGCCCCTCATTGCAGTCATATGAGGGGCGGGCTTGCGATGATTGCAAGTACGATCTGCCTGTCCAAGATGGGCAGATCGTACGTTTTTTTAAGTACTTTACAACCTTTGCAAGACAAAAGTCTTGCGAGGGTTGTAGAGTGCATGGGCACCTTTTAAAGTGAACCTGTCACTACTGAGACTGTTATAATAGGCAGATGGTAGGCTTCATGCATTGCCAGTGCTTATCATTTGCTTGTCAGGATTCTACTCCAGTCTGTCTTGGGAGCACTTAGACCTTGAGGAGGTGCAGCCAGTAGCTCTCAACTTAGGGATGAGGCATGCCGCATTCATGATTTCCCCAATGCAATGCTGTTGTTGCTGAAAAGGATGCTGCGGTAGCTGCATGGCACTCCTGAATGTGTAGGAGGGCTCCCAAGTCTCCCGTAACTTAAGCAAATGGGGGGTTATTTATATCTGCATTGAGTTCACTTTAAGCAAAAATTCCAGCTGCTCAACAAACTTTAGATGGAATTTTCCTCAGCGTCCTCGCATCTATACACCTAGACATAAATGAGCAATTAACACTTGCTGAGGGGGGGGGTAAAATTTTTTGAAAGTGTACATAATGTATTGCGAAAAAAAGGTTGTGGCGTCTGTTTCTTAACACACCGTAAACTGTTTACCGGGTATCAATTTTATTTTTATCACAGCTACAAACGGATGATTTCGGGTTTTGTTTTTTTTTGTCGTCACCAATTGTCATGTCCTTGTGTTGCAGCATCACTAAGGAAAGTATCGTGGATGTGGAGGGAGTTGTGCGGAAAGTCGAGCAGAAGATTGAGAGCTGCACTCAGCAAGACGTGGAGCTTCATATTGAGAGAGTAGGTGCAGCAACTCACTTGTCTGACTCCTAGCTGCTGAAGTTGTGCCTTTAGTGAATGCCTTATCTCAGTATGATTCCTTCTGATTTCCTCCCCCCTCCTCATACTGCATTATAAGCCATGACGAAGGAGATATGTTTTTAGCCTCTGAAATGTGTTGGGTTGTTACCTTGGATTTCTATGATGAAATAATCACATTATGTGGAATATAACATGGGTGCAAAAAAAATGACAAAAAGGCCTCAGTCATGAAGGGGTTAAGACTAATCTCCAGTCTTGCATTCAGGGCAGGTTTACACTATTTTCTGGACCAGATCTGGTCCAGAAAATGGTGTGAACCTGCCCACAGTTTCAGTGCATTCCAGACCAGACAAAATGTGACATGCAGTATTTTTCTGGTCTGGAAGGACTGCGCTGGTGTGAACAGAGGCCAGAAATACCATAGAGATACACTGGGATGCATTTTGCGTCCGGAAACAGTCTGGTCTGGAGATGATGTGGTGTGAATGGGCCTCAGTCTTGCACAATAGTATCGGCTTCTCTCTACTGATATCGCTTAGTCTGAATTCACTGCACACTAGGACTTTCTTGCAACATGCATTAGAAGCTGCAGCAAGTCAGATAGAGCCTGCCTCATATCTTGGCTGGAGGGCATCCAGTATCACCTGGCGCTTTCCTTCCCAGCCTGATTGTCCCTGGCCCACCCACTTTATCTAAAAATGGCATCAGCATGTTTATAAAGGAGAGGGAGGAACCAAAATATAAGCAAATTAAACTTCAGCTTTATGTAGTCCCAGGTGTTTGCAGACATCTGCGTAGCAAAGCATTCTCTGTTTCTAATGAAGTTATTTTTGTCTGATTTCCAGATCTATGTGATCAGCGCAGCGGAGCCACGCCTGCCCCTGCAGCTGGAAGATGCTATTCGTCCTGAAGGAGAGGGGGAAGAGGTGAGAGGGGCCTGGTTCATTTGCAGACACTATAACAGATTGAGGTCTCTCAGCCTAGCATATGCATGCCTTCTACAGAAACCTGATGACAGTTCCATATCACATTTCATTCCTGGTTTACCTGCCCAGGTCCTCCAGACCACAGGACCTCCAGATCACAGGGAAGCTGCACACCTGAGCTAATGTTTGGAGAAACCTATAGGCAACCATTGCTGAGCCTTCTGCAAACGTTAGTTGCCTGACTGCAATGCTGATCCCTGGCTTCATTACTTTGAGTTACAAACCAGAGTCAAGAATGCACATTAAGGGTTCTCTACACTGTATGTTCCGGATATTGCTGGTAGAGGATTAGCATGACAGCCAGGGGACAGACCTGTTTTGAAGGTGGCCAGCAGTGGCAGCCAGGCATTCCTCCAATGACAGTGTTTCTTTAAAGTTTTAGAATTGTTCTGATCTGCCCTTTTCTCTCCAAGCCGTGTGCCAGACTATGGACAGGAGTCATGATAGTTTTTCTTACTGACATTCTAGATCAGTGGTGGCGAACCTTGGCACTCCAGCTGTGCCAAAACTACAAATCCCAACATGCATCTGCCTCTGGGAGTTATGTCTGTGGCTGTCAGAGCCTTGCAATGCCTCATGGGACTTGTAGTTCCAAAACAGCTGGAGTGCTAATGTTCACCACCACTGTTCTAGATTATGTATGTGCGCTTGTCCGTCCGTCCGTCCGTCCGTTTTCATCTTAATATTGCTCTTCATAAAGCTTGGTATGCACTGTTAGCTTTTTTTGTGTGCTTTTTTAGCTTTTGGGCTTAACAAAATAAATAACAGATTCCTCTATCCTCGCTAAACAGCATTGATGGAGCAATCAACATACTCCAGCTATTGTGCTTTAACTGTCGGCCCCATCCGGCCCAGGTATTTAAAGCACCTGAACAGCTCCTGCATCTGATTGGATAACTGTTATCTGCTCTGCTCCCTCGATAGGGCCACCCACGGAGCAAATTTTAATCTGGTTCATAGAAAATCATCCGAAATACATTGCGTGTATACCCTGCTTTGCCGTCTTCCTCTGTCTTTTTGTTCTTGTTAAGGCTGTGACACACTGCATGAGAAGCAAAGGGAAGCGGCGGCATGAGAGCTTCAGGTGCAGTGTGTCTTGCTATTTCCTCTCACGTGTGTCAGCTGGCCAGAGCTCTCTTAGCTAAGCGTGCTAGGATGAAGAATTTCATCTCAAGCCAATCGGCTCACATTTAAAAACCTGCACGTTACAACGCGAATCCCATTGAGTTATTACGCATGAGCTGATTGGCAGAAGATGAAGTCTTTCATCTCCCCATGCTCGGCTACTCGAGCTCTCGCACACTGCATGCGAATATCCACGAGTCGCAGCTTCGCTTCGCGTGTAGTGTGTCATGGACTTCTTCCTTCCCTCTTGTTTCCTCCCGCTGTCACCTTACTTCTTATACAGTAAGGATGCACTGATACCGGTATTTCAGTATCGAGTACGAGTACCGATTTATTATTTTTTTTCCGGTACTCGCCAATACCAGAAATCCCAGTAAGGAAGCCAGGCGGCGTGTAAAGACTCGCAACCCGGCTTCCTGATTAGCAGGGAAGCCGTCCCCATGCTTCTCATCAGTAGGTGACGAGAAAGCATAGAGCCGGCTTTTTGGCCAATCAGGAAGCCGGGCGCCAGGTAATGTCGCGGCGCCCGGCTTCCTGATTGGCCAGGAAGTATCACCGGGATGTCACCTCATGATGAGGGAGCATTGAGCCGGCTTCCTGATACCGGAAGTATCAGGCTAGGCATCGGGTACAAGTACTCTCCCAAATACTCAGAACCGATACTATCGGTATCGGTGCATCCCTATAATGCAGTCTCGCTCTTATTTTCTCTTGTCCTCTCTAATTCTCTCTCTCTCCCCCCACATTCTATTTTCTCTCTCTCTCTTTATCCACATTCTATTTTCTCTCTCTCCCTCACCCTCTTTTGTTTGCGTGCTCTCTTTTTTACTCCTTTTTTCCCCTATCCTCTGCTCGCCCCCTCTCGCTCTCGGCCCTCTCGCTCTCGGCCCTCTCGCTCTCGGCCCTCTCGCTCTCGGCCCTCTCGCTCTCGGCCCTCTCGCTCTCGGCCCTCTCTTCACCTCTCTTCTCTCGTTCTCTTCCCATCCTTCATGGTCTCTTTCCTTTCTTGTGCAGTTTCTCTCTCCCTTGCCCCCCCCCCCCTCTCTCTTCTTGCTGACTGTCTTTTCTTCTTGCACTGTTTGTTTCTCTCTCCTTCCCCCTTGTCCTCTCTCACTATTCCACCTCCTTCTCTCGCTTTCTTCTTATCTCCTTGCTCTTTCTCACGGTCTCCTGCCTCCTTTCTTACTCTCCACATTCACTCTTTGTCTCCTCATTCCATTTGTCTCTCCATGTTTTCTCTTTTCATCTACTTATATATTTATATTTGTATCTTTTAATCTTGAGGATTTATTGTGTCTTCAGACTGCCGGTAAAAGGCTACAATAAAATCATTCACATGTTATTGTATTATTTTGGTAAGCATTTTCCTGGCACATGTTACTAATTCTGAGTCAAATGATGGTGACCTGTCACGAGCCCCCAGGGATGGACCCTTGTGTAGGGTATCAACGTCATCACAGTGGAAAGGAAGTCATTACCATGCATAGCTTCACAGAGTATGCATCTCCTGTTTACATTGATGTTTCCACAAAGTAGGGAATAGTTTTGTGCCTCTCAAGACATCATGTATGTATATACAGATCTCCCACTCTTCTGAATCTGCTTTACTTTCCTATTCTTCTGCTCTGATGCTATTTTTAGACCTAGTGGAACTATTACGGAGGCTGGTTTATTTATGTTTATACACATCAGTCACTAATATAAATTTACACTGGCCCAGGGAGTTGATAAAAGAATGCAAAACTTTAAACTGGTCTTACCAGACTGCTAATGCATTGCCCTATTGTTTTTGTCTATAATGCCTGACCAATACAATGCAATGCAGTATTGGTTTACACAAGGTTATCTAGGACCTAGAGAATGCCTTAGCTAATACTTGCAGCATTCGTTGACAGGTTTCAATTCAGTGGTGTCTGGTGATTCTTCATTGAAGCTGTTCACAATCCCAAACTGATCCCAAATCTGGGTAACAGTTCCTATGGGCTGTAATTGTGGCATTGTAATGAAATGGCACTTATGGTGCCAACTCAGCCTAAACCTCATGTCCCCCTTCTCTCCCATTACATCAGCACTTTCTCTTCTGGTCCTAGGGGCAATAGCCTGCAAAATATTGAGCTTTGGGACACGGGAGGAGGTTAGTATATGTCCTCCCGTGACCCTGAAGAGAACTATGGGGAAAAACACTTACCCGATAGTTCTTTTTTAAGCCCCGACGACGGGAAGCCTGTAGAACCCCTGAAAAGCCTTGCATAATGTTATGAACATTACTTATAAACCGTATCTGGACTTGAATCTCTGCATGGCACTCTTTCTTAAATCTCTGACCAATAAAATCTTTACAGAGTTTCTAACCCTTTCTCCATTTTATACTCCACTTAACATTGGGGCTGAAGGTGGGTTTTAATAGTAAACACTCATTGAAAGGAATTTGTCAAAATTGTAGCAGTTGTCCATGGCAACCAATCAGCACCCGCCTTTCATTTTTAAATTTTAACTGAACAAATTGAAGAGAGAAGCTGATTGGTTGCCATAGGTAACTGCTCCAGATTTTTCTACCCCAGTTTTGATCAATTCCCCTCATTGTGTTGCTCATGATAGCCAGTCACATTCTTCCTTTTTATATTTTGACCTTCCTGAGAAAAATAACATTTGGATCCCGATTGCTTTAAAAGAGAACTACAGGGTAACCTTTTTATCCCATAGTTCTCTAAAGGGTCACAAGAGGATATATACTAACGTCCTCCTGTGACCCAAAGCTCAGGATACAGCTCTCTGCAGGGGGATGATCGGAAAGTGAGCGAGCGACGGTATGCGTTCGTTCACTTCCCGATCTATATAGCCAACCTGTGACAGCTTCATTGTCGCACGTCGGCTCGAACTACACTATATTGCCAAAAGTATTGTGAAACCCCTCCAGATTATTGGGTTCAGGTGTTCCGTGAAATTTCCTTGCTATTAAATATTCCACGGTCACCTGTTAGTGGAATTATAACAAAGTGGAAGCAACTGGGAACAACAGCAACTCAGCCACGAAGTGGTAGGCCACGTAAAATGACAGAGCGGGGTCAGCGCATGCTGAAGCACACAGTGCACAGAAGTCGCCAACTGTCTGTAGGAGTCAATAGCTACAGACCTCCAAACTTTCTCATTAAAGTTCATGTGCGTGTAAAGGCCGGCGTCCCAATACTTTTGGCAATATAGTGTATGAGGTTGAGTCAAAATTACTCGCCTCATAGTTCTCCTTTAAGTAAGGCAGCACCGTCTCTTCAAACACATTTTATACATGAGTTTTATAATTGTACACCAGTGTATAGAACATTTTCAGCAGTTTAATACACAGTGTGTTGTATCTTTGTTTTGCATCGGGGAATCTATTTTTATACCTCATTTAATAAGACCTCTCTATATGAGTCCTGGCTTGTTTTGTAAGTTGCTCAGCAGGACAGTGCAACTCTGCGCTGAGAATATTGACTCGAAACTCTCCACCGTATTATGTTTCTCTGCTTGATGTTTTTGTGTGTGTTTTCTTTTGTTGTTTTTTCTTTCTGCTTTAGGAAGGAAGAGCTACTGTAAACCAGGATACCCGGCTGGACAATAGAGTCATTGATTTAAGGGTAAGGATTCAGTTCCAGCTCACGCAAAACCAAACCTTTTTATTGTGCTTCTCTGACAAACAAAACTTTAAAAACAGGTGCTGACAAATTCGACAACAGGGGTAGTTCTCTGAAGAGGCCCTGTCATGTTCTTTAGCAAGTCTCTGAAGTATGAGTAGGCAAACGCAGCACACCAGCTGTGGTGACACTACCAATTCCATCATGTATCTGCCTCTGGGAGTCATGTTTGTGGCGGTCAGCCTTGCTATGCCTGATAGGACTTGTAGCTCTACAACAACTGGAGTGTCTACCCCTGCTAAAAAGCGTCTCTCTCAGGGAAACAACTATGAGCAGGACTTGAAAAATGTTAGGGTGTCTCACCAGTCAGTCAAAAATTGCACCAGTCAGCATGACCGGACTATAGCCCTGCGATGTATGTTAAAAAAAGTTTATGGACACATAGAGCTTTCTTTTGGAGGTATATAATCACCGCTGGGGGAGGGGGTTTATTTTTTACTATATAATTAAAAAAGTACCGTAAATGTTGAGAAAATGTTTTTATTCCCTACGTTATGTTAAAAAGGCATTTATTCTTACCCATATTTGTTGGTAAAATATAAAAAAAAGACACCAAACATGTCAAGCCTTAAAATTGCGCACGCGTGCAAAAAACGGCTGCACCGAAAATTGGCCATAGGCGACACTTTTACTGCTCATCATTTTAGTGTTATCAGTGATTAATGGCCCTTAAATTATTGCTCTCACTCCGGCGTTCGTGGTGATATGTAACATATGCGACACAATAGGCACAATGGTCGTTTTTCGCACGTAGGCGCACCTACGTGCTTGCGTGTGTATGTGGGGCACTTTAAAAAAATTTTTTTTTTTTTTTTTTTACACTTAGCAATAAAGTTATCACATGAAGGGCTAAGAAGCCAACTATGTGATAGCCAATTGACATGACAGGTCCTCTTTATGGAGACATCAGGGGTCTCCAAGACCCCTCATGTCACCTAAGGACCCCCAGAGAAGCTGATGAAGCAGAGGTCTGCTTCACCAGCTTCTCCCCAGCTTCTGAAGCTGGAGAGTGAAAGCGGAATGCGTTAGTGATGTGATATACATCACTTCCTGCATTCGGGGACTGGAGAGGAGATCAGAGGGATCGTGTACCGATCTCCCTTTGATCTCCTGTCACAGAGCAGCCGTGCCGGTCCTGGCCGCACCGGGCACAGCGGATCTCGGGACCGGCAGTGACAGCTGCTGCTAATACAAGCAATCGGGCGTCTCTGGAGACGCCCGTTCGCTTGAATGTAAAGCTCCCGGCTGGCCGTTTAATAACAACGGTCGGCCGGGAAGCTACTTGTCCAGCTCCGGTGTCCTTTCGTCACAGAGAGGATTTTTCAAGCCCTGACTATGTGTGAGGGGCGCAGCAAACTTAGCAAAGCATGCACCCCTACTTTTTATCTCAATGGTACTTCCTATAGTGACACTGATTGCTTTTATAGCAATCATATAGGGGTTCCCAAATGATAAATTATCTCAATGTATTTGCCAAATGCTATTGATACCTTCATAAAAGTATCATGTCGCCACAGTTATGAGCCCATTGTTGTTCAAGGCCCCATAACAATTGCATAGTTCTGCTGTGCTCACACCCTTGGCCCATGTCTTTTCATATTCTTATAACAGCATTATATAGGCACAATGTAAGTAGAATAAACTTCAGCTGTAAGGTTTAATTTTCAGTTTTTGACTTGACCTTAAATATCAGGTACACTTAACAGCTGCAGTGCCGGCAACATATACCCATGGTCACTGTGGATACCACTGCCTAGGAAGCGCCGGCCAGTGCTGCTCCTTTGTGATAACGCTCACAGTACCCCGCAGTTAATGGATATTTTGATACGTGGTTATGATAGAGAATTCCATCTGCAGTATCAATAGTGACAGGAAGAGATAGGAGGCTGAACATCTGCTGGTCAAAGATAAACAGATTAGCTTGTGGTCAGACATCAGACCTAGCCAGCGTCGATCCCTCAGTCAAATGACCGAGCCATGCCGCCTCCCAGACATCTATTGTGCAATCTCTCCCATCACGATCAGATGTGTTCTTTATATGATTTGGAAAGAATGACCGGCAGAAAATACACGCTGGGTTCAAATGAGTTCAGTAACCCGCGCTACAGTTGGGGCAGACAGTAAGTTTTATGCATTTTGGTTTTAATCTGAATGACATGACATGCTAAATAAATTATTTATAGGAAACCTGTCATGAGGGAAACATGGAGGCTGTCATCGCTCCCTCTAAAAATGCTAGTTGTATGGCGGCCCTGTTTAACCTTTGGCTTCAATACTTTGAGTCACTCGCTTGTGCCAAAAATGCAAAAAAGTACTTCATTCTCCACTCCGACATTCCGGATCTGCATGCTTGCTAAGGGGCAGTGAAGCCAAAGTGTCGGTATAACAGCCAGGTGACTAGCATTTTTAAAAGCAGGCCCGCAGTGGCAGGCGTCTTACTTTGTTTCATGACCCAAGAGACGCTGTTAGCTTGCAAATTCAGGTCAAAGTGACAATGGCTATTGAAAGGTTCTCCCCCTGTCTGCCTTTCCCCGACCTACTTATACTCCCCTTACCTGCACTCCCTCGTCACAGCCACCTTCAAAATTCCCAGTGTCAGCTGGTGGTGGGTGATAACTGGAGCTGTGATGCCTCTCCCCCTGTCATGTGAGGGTGCTCAGGCCTCGTGATTGGTTGTTAGATGCAAGCACTCCCATATGGGAATATGTTGCATGCGTTTCAGTGGCCATAGTCACCAGGAGAGGTGGGGCGAATCTTCCCATTATCCCAATACAGCAATAAAAACTTGACAGAGGGTCTATCCCTTCTATTCTTTATCTGACTTGTCTTTGCATACACTTTTTAAAGTGTAAGTAGTTTATTTTGCAGGAGAAACCCACAGCAATCTGTGGGGGAGCAGGTTACTCGCCCACCAGGAAGTGTGTGATACCACCAGAAGATGGTGGGCGGTGAAGCGGTAGCTTTTCAAGGGTCACTTTAAAGCTGAACTCCGGGATAAGCAAATATTGTCCTCATACAAGAGTCATGTGTATTCTTCCTTGAATCTTGGTGAGCTTTGTGTATTTCTTCCAGATCTGTGCAGTAATCCAGTGTGAGACTTGGAGCTTCCTGTAATAAAGACCGCTCACTGCTGCTCTCTCTTCTTGTGCAGGGTGGCGGGTCTTGTCTCCGCCCCTCCTGTAATAAAGCCCAGTCACTGCTACTCTCTTATGCTTGAGCAGGGTGACTGGTCTTGTGTCCACCCCTCCTGTAATAAAGACCGGTCACTGCTGCTCTCTCTCCTGACACAGGGCGACTGGTCCTGTCTCCGCCCCCTCGTAACAAAGACCGGTCACTGC